TGTTTGCAGCTTGCCTGGAGGGTGAGGGGGCTGCGGAGCGGGGCGGCCCGGAGCCGAAGTTCCCGTGTCCTCTTGCCATGTGGGAGCTTGGACACTGCGATCCCAAGAAATGCACGGGCAGGAAACTGGCCCGAACAGGGCTGCTCCAGACCCTGCGCCTCCGCCAGAGATTCCCAGGCCTCGTCCTGAGTCCTCTGGCTACCGACTACGTCTCTCCAGCTGACAGGTGGGTGCTCCTCGGTGAGGCCCATACCCCGGTGACCTTGCTGCCTGTTCGCAAAGCCCGCGGAGGTGCAGGCCGTGAGGAAGAACCCTTCGTTCAAGTGCTGGCATATTCGGGAGAACATTTTAACCACCGATTCATGGCCAAAACTGTGCTACAGAGTAAATGTGACCTTCCTGTTACATTGCATTGCTGAATGAACATGAGAAACAGAGCCATTTTATTAAATCATATTAACGTTTTTACACAGCTGGTATGAGGTGAAAAAAGCATCTGCAGATCCCAGTGAGAAATCCAAGTATGTTGTTTGTAGGTTAATTTGTTCAGAATCATGGGCCTGGAAGCTGCTGTATCTTATGATTCCACATTCAAGTTCTTCGGCTAGGCAATACTATGTATTAACTAGAAAACTTATTTGAGGGAAATGGTGAGAATTTTTTTCAAATGTGCCTGTGGCATTTTTATAAAGATGTATTTACTCAGAGGAGAGATTAGTCTTGAAAAGCTAGCGGAGAACCTAAATCTGAACTTTGGTGTACTTTTAAGAATGTGAATATTACTATTAACCACAGTCTTCTGCCACATTTTTAAACCTAGAATTTTGCATTTTCAGCTTGAAACGTATGGATAAACCTTTTTTGCCACATGCCTGGTTGGAAGAAAAGCAAGTTGTTATTCTTTCTCATTGCATCTGTATTTTAGATCATTGTAAAAAGTATGCTTTTTGATTGACAAAAGGCTGGGTTGTATGCAAATTTGTTGCCAGTATAAAGTGGCAATTGTAATTCTCGCTTTAACTTACTTTATCAATACAATTATAACAATTTTTCAAATACAATGATTTTTTTTTCAGGCATGTCATTGCTCAGAGTGGAATTGCAGTCATAGATTGCTCATGGGCCAAATTAGAAGAAACTCCCTTTAAGAGAATGAGAGGAAGTCATCTCCGGCTGCTGCCTTACCTGGTGGCTGCAAATCCTGTAAACTATGGTCGGCCATGCAAGCTGTCCTGCGTGGAAGCTTTTGCTGCTGCTTTTTGCATTGTTGGTAGGCCGTAATGTGTCTGATGTAAAAAAATGCTACCAGCAATTCTTAAATCCTTAATAAATCAGAAGACATGATCTGTGATAGAACAAATTAACGCTGTCCTACTGGTCCTCACATTGTTGAGTTTGGAATCAGATTGTCTAGCTTTCTTCCCAAGTACTTGTATCTGGTAGCATCGAGGTATCTGTGGGATGTTCATGTCAGCTACTAAACAGGACATATAAGCCAATGATCCTGTTTTTTGTCAAGATGGCACTTAATGTTATGAAAGTTTAAAAAAAAAAAAAAAGCCAGAGAAGGTGGCCTTTGCTGCACCTTTGTGTTAATGAGTGGTAACAGCTCCCTGTTAACAGGGTGGGTTCTGGTTAAGAACAAAAGAAATTACCCCCTCTTGAGATGTTTTGCAAACTCATTACAGAACTTTCTTGACAATTGAGAAACATGCTCTACTATACTGCAGACAAATCTTACCCTTCTGAAAATATTCTATGTACAGCTGCTGTCTTACTGAAGGACTGTGGGAGCTAGACCTTGAATCATTCATTACCTGTACAAAATCTTTTTATATAAACTCTCACTAAACGACTATGAATTTCTCTTGGATTCAGTTAGGTATTTCAAATTTGACTGAAATTTGAAAAGGTTTTTAATATTTTTAAAAGTCTGAATCCCTGAACACTGAAAAAATGCTGGCAAATATCTCATTATTGTAGTGATACATATGTATATACTGAACTTAGAAACGTGTGAGATGAGTGAAATCTCACACTGAAAAAGAAAACTGATCACTTATTTTCTGTTTTAGGATTCCCAGACCTAGCTGTCATTCTTCTAAGGAAATTTAAATGGGGTAAGGCATTTATTGACTTGAACAAAAATCTCTTGGAAAAATATGCAGCCTGTCATTGCCAGGAAGAAGTGCTGAGAGTTGAAAAGGACTTTTTAGCCAGTGTCCAAGAAAGAAAAGAAGAAGAAATAGGTAAGAGAAAAACACAGACACACCATACACCCCTTTTTCCTCACTAGTTTCCTTACACTTTTTTCCTTTAATCTCATTAAAATATTGGCAAGGTAGAATAAGAGCTTTGTTGAGATGTGTTGTTCTGTCTTGATACTATGTATTACTATTATAAGTAAGTTTGCCTATTTTTTCAACTCAAAAAAGATGAAAATGGCTAAAGCATTAATTTAATGCATATAGTAGTACAGTCACAGCTGAACTATGGAGCAGCTACCCTGGTTAAATTAAGGATATCTAAGAACTAAGGAGTAAAAATAAAACATGATGCTTCTTCATTTATGTACAGGTGTTGAAAGCAGAGTACAAGTAAAAAGACTAGTAATTAAGGAGGACTGTTAAGAAAAATACAAGCATACAGTCCAGCAGCAAGTTAGTTATACCTAAACCTCAGAAGGACCTTTAATGGACGTGTTTAGATAGTCCCTAATCAAGATGTTTAAAATCAGACCTAAAGATAACAAAAATAGCTTGTAAGTAGTACAGAAGTTTATTTGTGAAATCTTAATGGTATGCCAGTATTTCAGGCTATACTCACAGGTGAGTGCTTGTTCCCATTCAAGACAGCACAAAAAACCCCAAATCAAATGATCAAGAACACACAAAGAGAGATGCTCGTAACTAGTAACTTCCTTTCACAGTGGTTAAGTCTCATAAAAATAGGCCAGGGGATCACACTCTAAGGAGATGGTAGACAGCCCCTGGTTTCTCTGAACTTTGATCTCTTTGCCATGACATGCTAGGCTGAATGAAATCATCCTGTTGTTTGGTAGAAGCCCAACTACTGTTACATTAAACTGAAGACAGTTCCTAAGGGGCAACACTGCCCCGCCAAATAAAGCAGACTTCCACCCACAGTCCTATGTATTTTCTGGATGGACTATAGTATCAAAGCTGTCATACCTTGTTTGACTTTCCTGAGGTAACAGTTATCCCCAGCTGTGCAAGCCAAACAAAATCTAGCCCTACCCTCACTCGGCAAGAGTTAAACCTGGACAGCTACTATACTTCACTTTTCAGTAGACATGAACTAACCAGATAGCCCTTTTAGAACAAAATCATTCTGAGAACATCCATGTTTTCTTACCAAAAGCTTTAGAAACCTATGCCTAGAGTCTGACTACCCTTGAAGAGCTACTGAACTCCTTGGTGGGGGAGAGGTACAAAGGGGATGGAAGAGAGTAAAAAGACTAGAACTAGGGGGGGGAAAGGGGCAGGACTTACTTGGCAGATGTTTCTCACCTCCCCTGGTTTCTGACCAAACAACTACAGTAAACTTACTGGAGAGCTGAAACAGAATTCTTATGCTTTTCCCTCCATGCCAATAATCTCTTAAAATTAAAGCGAAGGCAGACCATTAAAATACGCTTTCTTCACCAATGTGTGCATTTTCCCCTTCTTTTTCCAGATCCATTTGATGTTGACTCAGGAAAAGAATTTTCTAATCCCAACAGACCAATCAGTTTTCCAGGGTAATGAAATTTAATTTAAATACTGGGGGTTTTTTTTAGTTATAAGTTGTTTGTGCTTTTATAACCTGAAAAATGTTTCCAGACTTGCACAAAGTAATGAAGAATCTGAGGACAGTGTGAGCACTCCAGACGATGCCACTGAAAGCAGTGATGAGAGCAGTCCAGAAGATGATGGTAAAGTTGCTGCAACAACAGACAATAAATCAACTATCTGAAAAGTAGAAAACAACAACAAAAAAAAACCCTAAAATACCCACATACCACAAGAACATTAAAAAAACCCCCCAACAATCCCTTGTAACATCTTGTATAAAGGTGTTTTCTTGTTAACAGTATGGCTTGTTCACCTGTTACTTGGTGCTTAGCAAATGCCTTCCTTTAGGTGAACCTCAGGCTATATGTGGGTCTACAAGTGTATTTATGCACATAAAGGCTTTAGGTTATTTAACTTTTAGATAATTGTTTATGGAATGCTAATTATTATGTAAAGAGCCTGAAGCTTAGTTACAAGTTAAAAAAAAAAAAATCAATGTGTCTGGAAAGTAGTTCATAGGGATTATATTTACTGAATAGTGCATTAAGTAAACCTTTCTAACTTCTGGGCTGTATTTCAACTGGAAGACATGATTTTTTTGCAGGCTTGAACCTGCCATATGTATTTCAACTACTTCATCTAGTGTAAACTGACTATCTAAGCTTAAAAGAAAAAGATGCTTCCTGGAATTGTTTTAAACATCTCAGTATATCTTTTCAGTAACTTTACATGCCATTTTTTAAAATTTACTCTGATAGACAGTCCTAAGCAACATAAAATGTCTTAGCACTTTATATTCAGAACTGTACCATAAAATTTCAGATAACACTTTCAGCAACACTATCTGCTTGCATACTCATTCCTTGGAGTGGCACTCTCCAGAGTCAGAAATACACATTGTCCGCCCTTAAAGATTTGAGTTACTTTCATCAGCACTGGTATCTTAAGTTCATTTTTCCACAGTGAAAGTGCAGCTGTTAGCAGTTGTTTTATGTACATTTAAATAGAATGCTCTTAAGAGTTTCAAGCAACCAACTGTAACTTACTTAAAGCTAAGCTTCACCAACACTTCAGTGGAATTGGAGATACTGAGGACAATTCATAGTGTTACCTTCACATATACAAGTTCAAGTCAGCAAGATTTAGTGGTACAACTATTCCATTTCCCTTTTAAAAAGAAAAAAAGAAGCCCAAGTAACTGACAGGGAATCCTTAACTCAAGTTTGTCAGTCACTCACTTTCTTACCCCAAGGATATGAAGTCTCCCAAATCAGCTTTCTAACGAGGATTTCTAGATAGTGACAAGAAAGCAATCCTATACAAACAATTTTTGAAGGACTGAGAATAATATGAAGGTGTTAGCTATTCTAATTTGGGGGAATGCTCTTATGTTATGAAAGCTATTGTAACCAAATGCAGATAAGCAGAATAGATCTGAGAACAGGGCTGTATCACACTTAAAATAACTTAAGTCTCTAGCAGTAGCACTTTTAATAAAAAAGCACTGAAAAAGATACAGCTCAAATGGAACAAAGCTTTTTACACTTCATTTGTTTTGCAGAATGATTTTGACTAAAAAAAATACAATTAAAGCAGTGAAAGTTTAATAGAGGGCATATCAGCTTGACATACATGAAAATAACTTAAATAAACTGATTTCCTTTACAGAAGGAAACTATAATTGCAGAGCACGTCCTTTTCCTAAGAGCTATATACATTGACACATGGAAGAAGGCACAGAAGTGTTTCTGATAAACAAGTACCATTTAAAATCCCCAGCTGCCATAGGTCCCCTTGCATTCCTTGGATAACTTCTATTATTGTTTGTACCAGTCTAATGCTTGTGTTATTGTGGTCACACCAGTACGTTGATCCCATTACACACAATAAGCAATTGGTTTCTAGCTAGTCAGAATACTGTAAGCTGTTTAAGGAACTGATCAAAGTTGAATAGCTGCAGTTAGCACTCAGGGCCCAAAGAAGGGACACATTCATGTACGGGGTGGAGGCAGGAAAAAGAAATGAAGGCAACATCTAAACAACAGGTTAAGTGCAGCATCACAGGTCTTAAAAACAGGACTTGCACTGAGTTGTGTTCTGAGCCATTTAAATGGCAGTCTTTTAATAATCTCAATGAAGATAAATGAAACAAAGCCCTTTATATAAACAGTTTATTTACTCTAAACAGCAACACAGACAGAACGCCATATAAACACAAAGGAAGTGATGCAGAATAAGAGTGCTGGCTGACTTTGGATCTCAGAGGCTCTTAAGCAATAACAACCTAGTTTCTGAAAGATAGAAAAACAAATTCAGGGAGGGAAGGGGGTGGAGGGCATGATTTTTTTTTTTTCCATACAGCCAGCTGGAGGCTAAATATAGTTTTAACATTTTAAAGCATGCCTGCATCAGATAGCAAAGTAACTAGAGATACTAGTGAATTTATAGAAGTATAAAAGTTTATAATTTTACAGCAGTTGAAATACTGACATCAATATTAAAATAAAAGCAAGTTTTACATAACAATCAAAAATACAAAAGACTGAAGGAAGAGACCCTGTATGAAAAAACGGGGGGCAATTCAGCAAATTTAGAACTGTATACAAGTGGCGAATATGGAAAATGGCACACATACAACCCCCTCCCCTAAGTGGATATTAATTGTACATAGCAACATTAGATTTTGCAAAAGTTTTGTAAACAAGTTCTTGCCAAACCAATCCCTTCCTTTTTAAGAAGCTGCATGACAGACGCTTATGATGGTGCAAACTTCTTGGCTTGTGCTCGAACCCTCTTTTCATATTCCACTCTGTTTTGGCTGAATAGAAGAGAGAGAAAGGGTAATTACAGCTTGAGAAATCAGAGGCCATATTATAGAGTTATTGTGCTTCTATTTCTCTTCAGTATGAAACTAAGTCATTACTGAAGGCAAACCCATTAGATAGGAATTCACTGAACACCACAATGTATTAAAGGCTTTTCTACACCATTACTCTGATAATTTCCTTTGGAGGGAAGTAGGGTACTATTTAACTAGGTACTTCCCAAAGTTCCTCTGTTGTCAAATGATTGAACTCTCTGACTTCATACCATACCAGTCTATAAACAGGTTTGCGCTTGCTCTTTCTCAAGGCCAGCTGTACCTTATGTGCAAGCATTCTTATTCATCTGAACCTAAGTTTTCCACTCCCCACATTAAGACCTGAGGTCATTAACAATAAATTCCAGTGTCCTAACACCACAAAGTGGTTGATCAGAGCAATTCACTAACCTAACAGTTGGTGGACTTCATCTGATTTTAAAAGTATTGTCTTTACTGCTTTGGGGAGAGAGGGAAAGTGCTCTTTAAGAAATGGGAAAATAGTAACAGTACGGTAGTTTCAGCCTTTATCACTGCAGACCATGACTCAGAGTTAGGTTTATCCTAACCTTCAACTGAAAAAAAAAAAAAAAACAAAAAAAAACCCAAAACAAATTTGCTCAACATTTTGAAAAAAACACTACAGTTCACCAAGTCTAGCTTACTTGCTATGGATTGATTAAAACCAACTATTTCAAGGAACTATGACCAGTCATTAAGCCTCAGACTCAACACAAAAGCGCAAATTCTTTGTTTTCTGTTCTTGGGCCAACAAGGGATGGTAGTAGCTTAGTAGAGCATCCATTTACATTCAACACCGTATTTCGTATTAGCTGTCAGAAGTGTCAGTCAAGAGCTAAACAAAAATTGGTTACCATTACTCTTGTGCCAAAGGTAGTTTACAGTGACAGCTGTGCAGTAAACTTAACTTACTTTCAGCCATGAAGGCTTGCTGCAGTAAAAAAAAAAAAAAAAAAAAAAGCAGCAAATTATATCCTCAGAAGTTGACAGTTTGGGGGGGAAGAAGAAATGAAGCCAATTTTGGTCATATCCAATGAACAATTACCAGCAAACAGACTGAAGATATTCTAGTTTCTTCTCATAAACAAACTTACAAACTTTATTCTAAAATTTTTCTTTATGTTATATTGCACGTGAGGATACTACCTAGCTGTGGAGTCTCACACCCTCAGAATCCACACAAAAGAATGCCTGCGTAGTAGACTCTGAATGCCTACAGCTGAGGAAGTAGGTTAACACTTTAAGAGTGCTAAAGTTACAGAGCACAGCACCAAAGCTGAGGATGAGTAACAAGTACTGTTATTTTGAATACAAAGTGTATTCTTGACATTTCTTGACATTTATCAACTTGACTAAAAGGCATCTATTTGAATAGCACTGCATCTTCCCCAGTATTTATCAACTATGCCAAATTACAGAGGCATACACAATCCTGCTCTGTTGAGCTGCTGCTACCAGTAAATCATTAAGTAGTAAGAGGGACACACTCTGAGACTGCAGAAATACAGTAACCCATCTGAAATACCATGCATGTCCAAAAGACATTAAGATGATAAATGGGAGACTATATATATTTGAAATAACAAAACACATGTAATAGTTTATTCTCAATAGATTTTTTTTTTTCTAGAAGCACTTACAATAAAGCAGAAACAAGACTAGCGAAGACTGGTTTTATACATATATGTGTGGGAAGTGATAAAAATATAAAACACACAGACTATTTATACATGTATAAAACTATGTTATTCCTGCCCCATATTCCCTCAGAGTGGCTTTTTTTTTTTTTTAAATAAAGAGAAAAAAAGAGGGGGAGGCCTGCTTCATCATTACTGGCTCCCAAAGGTGCTGCCTACAACTGTAGCCACCTAACTTTCCTCCGTATGCACTCAATCCCATCAGGTCTTCAGTAGATACTTAAAAAATACCATTGAGTGAAGCCTTTAATTAAATCCAAGATGCACTATTCATCCCTATATTTCCTTTTCACTAAGATCTTATAATGGACATTTTTTACATAGCTTGCATAAGAAGTCTCATAGACTTGTTCTTCTGTCCAGAATGGTAATTCCACATTTCCATCTTGGTCATTATTTCAGTAGCTGTTAGTACCAAAAGCATTTGTTTAAAGTGTTTTGCTCCCCTAAAGATTATAGATCAGCCATCCATTTTTAATAGTGGGAAAATTTTAAGATTAAGCCTAAAAAAAAAAAAAAAAGTACTTTTTAGCTCACAAATCATGATTTTTCCTAACCAATGCAAACTTCATTCTGCTAAAGCTCCAAGTTTTATGTACTTTTTAACTTATTCTTTTGGGAGATCTAGTTTTCACAAAATGCTGTGTATTTCCTACAGCAATCACAGAAGTTCTCCTTTATCCTTCAGGCACAAATGCTTATAGGTACCCACTACTGAACAGAATTAAGTTACTCCTATACTGATAAATGAGACTTTGACACCTAATTCAGTCTCCTCTATTACCGGTCTCATGAAATCATTATGCTTCATGACTACTACTCAACCTTTAGGGGAAAGGATTCTATGTTGAGCTAGAACCAGGATGAGAATCATGGTCTACCTGAAAGAGTCTTCACACTTTAATGCTGTTGTGATGTTATTAAAAGCTCCACTAGCCTATTAACTGTGAAGTTACTGTTTTGTTCAAGTTTAGCACAAGCCAGGCATCTCCACAGGACACAGCCATGAAGGTAAAAAAATTCACCTGATAATTCCTAAAAATATTTGCATGCTATAGTATAAGTAACAGACAGCTGTAGGCAATATGACAGCTTTCAAGCTGATATGCAGATACTTGCCAGTAAATTGTGTAAGCCTCTGCTTGAGCTGGGTCTTGAATATTTGGTTCATTTAGAAGTTCTTGTATTCCTAACAAGATCTGTGGAAAAAGGAATAGAAGTAACATAGGCATGGATATTACTAAGAGACACTGAAATTAAAACAAAACAAAACAAAACAACCACCTTACAAACCTTAGACCTGTGTAGAAACACAGTTAACATCTTACATGAGATAAGCAAACAAAGCAAATAAAAGGGCTAAGAATATGTCTTAAGTACATTTAATGACCTGTTTAATTGTGATTGCTGGCCTCCAGTCCTTATCCTCCTCTAAGATGGAGAGACACACTGTGCCTGAAGGATACACGTTTGGGTGGAATAATGGTGGCTCAAATTTACCTGAGGAAGAAGAGAAAATTACTTGCATGCAGCGCTAAGATCAGAGAGTTGGTTTAGAACAGTGGGGAAAAAAACCCCAGAACACTAAATTGGCCAAAGATACCCCACCCCACGTGAAAAATTCACACAGATTTCTAGAGGTATTAATACTGGTTTTCTTCTTGGCTCAGCCTGCACCTAAAGCAGGAACTCCATCACATCTGTGGTCTCAATCCAGGCAATTGAGACCAGTAATGTAACCAGTAATCTTTTGTTTCAGGAATAGAAACTGACAAAATAGTTTGTAGTAGCTTTGTGATAAAGACCTTTTTAAACCAATCCTGTCTTTATGACCTCACATGCTACTACTATATGAAGGAAAGATACTGCCCTTCACTCTTCACTTTAAAATAATGAGTGTTCCATACAAGGAAGACTTAAGTTTCTAGCATTTTTTCAGTTTCACTTTTCCTTTATGTGTAATCAAGATACACTGAAAAGAGGAACCAACTTTAAGTTACAAGACTGACTGAAGGAGTAGGCTTGTGCAGCTCTCCTGCCACTCAAATCTATATTCTGGCATTTCTTTAATCTTTAAAGGACTTAAATGCAACAGCCACCATCTTGAGTAATGTAATGAACACTTGTTTAGCAATATATGAAATATCTACGTGTTAGTACAGTTTTCTAATCCACCTGGCATCACAAGT